TCTTGGTTGTTGAACACCACCAACAACATAACCTTCACGATCACGTCCTTTTCGATTCATATCAAAATGACTATTTTATGATAAATAAAAGGATCTCGATGTAGCTTTTTTTTTTAGAAAAAAAAGAATTTGTCATACTTTATTTGATAACTTGTAATAAATCGACGTGGATCATCAAATGTTTGTACATAACCATTTTCATTACTTATTGGTCCTGTTGTTTCTTTTGGCCCAATATTCAAATTACCCATTTTTTCAGGTAAAAATTGAGTACCAAGATAATGTTTACGATATTCACTAAAAAAAGAAATTTTTTTTTTTCGATACAAAATTCAAGATGATAAATAAATTACATACGTAGAATCTGGTGCAAATAAACCACCAGCATAAGGTCCTTCGCCAGTAGGTAAAACAAAATTATTAATCACACGATCTGATGATATTTTTGTATTAGTACCAATAATTGTAAGTAACGGATCATCACCCTAAAATATTTCATATACTAATCGATCGCAAACAAATTCTCATGATAAGATCTGCCATCCCTCTAAAGTATTATCAAATATACATAGCATGAACGACAAATATTTTTCGCTGAAATATATATAATTCAATTTATTTTTTAATGCTGGTCTCGAAAATAGTTTTTCATGCAAATGATTGAAGTCGTGCCGAAAACTAACAGAAAAGAGAGTATCTAATCAGGTAATTGTGAAAAATTTCAGGCTCGGGCAATTCTTTAAAATTCTTTTAGATGAGTGTGTGTTGTAGAAGGAATAATGGCACAGTTTTTCAAAAATTTTTACGAAGGAATTATCTTTTATTTCCGAGAAACGTTGACTAGACTTTTTCAAGCTATTTGTAGATATACTGTTTTGATCTCATGATGACCAAGATATTTCTTAGAAAAGAAAGAAAATGTATCAAGTGTCTATATGCATTTTGCAGAGTCAAGAAAGATGCAATGAATCACAATATTCAATATCAAAAATATTTGCGGACAGGAAAATTTCGTTCATACCAATGTTTCACTATACATGTACCTCCGATACATGAGCTTGTGAGTTATATCGGCTTCTCATCAATGATAAAAAGACAAATCTATGACATTAAAATATGCAGAATAACATGCCTTTTCATGGTGTGTATATTTTATAATAATTTAGAGAGATAGCAGATTTCGACTCTTATCGTGCGAAGTCCTTTATCAAATAATTAGATTTACTTTTGGATAATTATAGTGTGGAAATTTCTCTTTATATTCAGTAGCACCAATTGGTCTTGAACGATAATGCCAACGTTCACCTACTGTTGTTGTTATTGGTTCAGTTTCTGTATTCGAAATAAAGCCAGAAGATTCTTTTGGACCAACTTGTCCCAATATAACTGGTTCAGTTCTAGCTGGTTTAACAAAATTACTACCATAAGTTGTCGCTTCTTTTCCACCAATCTAATTAATAGATTTTTTTCAATATAAATAAATTTAATCTTAAAAAAAAAATAAAGATTTACTGGTGGTACAAATGAATTCGGTATATGTACGGCACGTTCACGAAAAAATCCTGATGTTTGATTATTAATATTTGGTGGAAGTGATTCTGTACCATTCGGTAATTCATATGGTTTATAATGTGTCTTATGAGAAGTTTCATAATTTTCTGTACACATACGACTAAAAATAAAATGAGTTGAATTTTAAATTTTTATTTTTATTTTTATATTTTTTGAAGGTAAATCGAATTACTCAATATCAATGGTAATCACAAAAAAAATGATAGATAATATAGAAAAGATATTAGAAGTTAAACATATCTCCTGTGAATGAATAGTTTTATCAATTTTCTTTTGAATTTAAATCAACGAGACGATACAATAGAGCCATGTTATTCTGTCTTCATAATAAGAAGTAAAGACTGACGAGTCTGAATTTGTCAGTAACAGCCGAGGGGCAGAACATTAGCGATCCTTTTGTTTTAGGTGGGTAGTGGTAAGTGGTGCTACCGCTACGTGCGCTATTTTGTCGAGGATACAAATCATCGGCAGAGTAGCTAACGGCAAAACTACTATCCTAGCTCCTGTCTTGTTCTAGGAAGGATACTGGAGACTGCAGCTACTTTATTTACATTGTGTATTCTTGATAACAGGACGCACTCACTAAGGGCGCCATTGCCTATCCAAAATAAGAGGGGCGCTAATGTTTTGACTACGCCACTAATTGTCAGAGTGATGAACTAGCTGACAGCATTTAATCACAACTAAAATTTTCTTTGAATTAAATTTGTTTTGTTTAGGAATATTATAGAGACAATAAACAATAGTTTCAAGATATTCTGTAGACTTTTTAGACACAAAATAGTTTTTATTAATCCATAGTTCAATTGTGAATTCAGAAAAAACGACTTCCGAGGTCCATTCAGGATAGTATAACCTCTTTTTTTTCGCTTCTACTGAGGAAAACCGAAAAAAAATATACCGTCAAAAGATGGCGATCATTGCTTTGCCATCCTCCTCAGTCCTCCACTGTCGTAGCAAGTAATATTAATGAAAAGATTCATTGCATTATGAGGCAGAAATAAAAAATTTCCATTTTTTTTCTTGTAAACATTGAAAGAATATGATCTGATCATACAAAGTAGTCTACTGGGTATTCCATAAATATTTTAACGACCAAAAAAATTTGAATATTTCCTATATGTTTAATTTCAATAGGTTCCCAGGTCAAGAAATACGGGTCATTACCGGTGGAAAAACTTGGAGACATGGTAGGAATTCGGTGGTCGACTCTGCTTGGTTACGATCGAAACTAAAAAAACCTGGCCACCAGATTCATGCTTTCAAGCTCCTACAATTTTCCCCAGTTTTGCGACGGAAGTCTGACGGAAATTCACAGATCCGGACGTCGGAGTCGTAGACAGGGGCTGATTTTTTTTGTCGATGATAGAAGAATGTTAAAAGTTTTTATCGATAAAAACAATACATTAAGAAATATCAACTTTAATAAAGCTTTATGAACTTTTACGGATTTTAGACAATATTAGATATATAGATAAATATTTTAAATTTTAAGATATTAGTTTTATGTAAGCTGATTCTTACGAGATATATTTCTCTATAATTGGAACAAAATTAGCTCATCATTGGGTGAAATATGGTGATTTTATTAGAATTTCCTCTGCGACAGAGATGGAACCGATCCAATCTCCTTCTTGGCTCTCCGAGACTAACTTTTCGAATACACTTTACATAATAATCTTTTTGAAGCACTTAACAGTCAACAAATCTATATAAAAGTCGATAGTGATACTTTATAATAATATTCCAGAACATTTCATTTTTATCAATAAAAAACTTTGAATAATCATCTATCATCCATTAAGCAATCAGTCCATTGAAATTAAACATATAGATGATATTTATGAGACATCCTGTCAATCATACTCAGAATAATTTTAGTTTCATACATTATCTTTCATTTATTTTCTATAAAATCATATATACATTTCAATGCTTTTAAAAGAACTTTAAGCTATTACCCCTAACCAAAATGAAAAAAATTACTCTTTTTTTTCTTTATGTAGAAAAATCTTATACAACAAATCGCTTTTAATTACTTTGATTTCTTTAATTATTATTTTATAGACATTTCTTTTCATATAGTATTCTCCTACAAAGAAATCCAATAGTATCAAGTCTAGTGATCATGAAGTTCATGACATTGATTCATCTCTTCTAAACCATCGATCATTAAACTTATCAGTCATCTAGAAATGAACTGTCTTCAAGTCATATACTGATTCTCTATGTTGCTGAAAAATCATTTTGTTTTAGTATTTCTTTTTTTTTTCCTATAAAATGAGGTAAAAGAAGCTCTGGAGCATAACCAGTAATTTTTTATAAGTGCATTGCAACTTCGAAATGGCATACAAATCATTTAGACTCCATATACGGTAGCTGTGCTTATATTAAAAAAATCCAGACAGTAGCCGTGTGAATAACGTCCAAGAAAAAGAAGCAATTAAAAAAAGAATTGTTATATAATGTCTTTCTACATATAGAAAAGGAGTAAGCTTTTATATTTCAATTAGAGTTGATAGCTTTGAAGGGTACTTTTGAAGTTTGTTTGTATAAATAAAAATGCGGTATATTGATCTATCATTTAAAAATAATCGAATAGTAAAGATATACGGAACAATTTTTAAAACAAATTGTATATTATCAATGAAAACTTTCTTAATAAACCTAACAGAAAAAATCAAATCATTTTGGAGAAAATCACAATACTAATAAATTTTTGATTAAAATAACATAAAAAACTCTTCGCATGGTTTCTTTTTTATTCTTCATAAATATAAATTAAAATATATTACCCAAGTATTGGATTATCAATTTCATCTAATGAACGTGTATATGGTAAATAATATCGTTCATTATTGACAAAACCAGTTTTAGCTCTATCAGCTTTTAATTTTTGTGTAAGAAGATTTTCTGTTGTTAAAGATTTATCTGCAAGAATATTTGATTTTTCTCGTATACGTGGTGGTCGATAAGTACTTGAATATTGTGTTATATAAAAATTCATTAAATAATTATCAGGACCTTCACTTGCTAATGTATGTTGATTAGCATGACCAGCAGGAAGATATTGACCTGCATTTGAACATAAATAATTATTCATTTCTTTTTTTTTTCTTTCTAATTCTATTTGAAATACAGAAAAAGAACTTCGAAAAGTTAAGTTATCATTTCAAATGTATGTTGCTTAGTAATGATATTCATTGTGGATATTGAATATTTTTAACATAGTAATGCATTTATAAACAGCTGATATTAAACCAATAGAAAAATTAGTTTATTATAGAATTATGACAGAGGTAAATTCATTATATTGGTTGATTGATATAAATATTGTTTTTGTTCTATTCGACATATTTCGACCTTAATATTCAAATATTTATAAACTATTTTCGAAATCTTGTTTTTTTATTATTTAATTAATTAAAATGGGAGTTTTGTCTGATCCGATTTATCGACCATTATCAAGTAAATTTTGTTTATTCTTTTAATAAATAATCTTATTTTATACGTTTGTTTAGTTACTTTCATTGAATATCAAGAAGGTAAATATAAATGTTGAATTTGTTTATTATTTTTTTTTTTGGTTTTATTTTTAAATTAATTTAGGAGATAAAATTGGTTTTGCTTTGGCATGGTTTTCAATGTTACCATTTATTTATATTGTTTCTCTATGCACATTAATTGTATTTCGACGTGATATACAAACGGTAGAATAAAAAACAACAAGATTTTTTTTTATTCGGTACATAAGTTTTTTCTTGTAGATTATGTATTTCGGTGGTTTTTGTGTATCGGAAGTGTGTAATTATTCTCTTAAAAGATTTTTTAAACAAGCACGACCTGAAAGAAGTACGTTTTTTGAGATTTGAAAGCAGTGTGTGAATATGGTTTTTTTTTTCGAAGTTAGCCAAGTAGTGTCCTTATGGGCACAAAGTTCTTCGTATAATTTTTATAGAAAATTCATGAACAAGATAACTTCTTTTTGAAATAAAATAGTCAGCAATAAAATTCAAAGACTCAAATGAAGATTATATTTAGAAAAATTTATCCATTAAAGAATGAACTTTATATGTAAATCTTGATTAATCGGCTTCATAAGTAATTTTTTAAGCTTCTTTTTTTTTAAGTTTAGCTATCTGAGGATAGGTTTTAGACGAAAAAAAGGCAACTGAATCAATATTAAACAGAGCAGTTTTAAAAATAAAAGAATTCGTATTTTTACCAATATATGTTTAGAGATTTTTCGTACATTATTTAGTAGCAAGATTGGATCATTTTCAGAATATATTCAAAACATTTAGATAAACGCTTAGATTGTATTTGTTTAAGTCGAACTTAATTACTTCAAACTTTTACTTATCTTTTAGGTAATTATCCAGTAATGGGATTAATTATTAATGCCTTTTTTTGAGTCAGAAGCTGCTATTCACCAGAGAGTTTACAAAGCATTGAAATTGCACTTTAGCAACCACGTTTAATATCTCTTGACGAATTTCTAGATTTTAAGTTTTGTGTTCAAACAATTATTAGAGTGACTAGTGTACTGCGTGACTGATATTTTTGATCACGATCACGATCACGACTATTCGCAATGTTTTTAGGCAAAACAATTCTCATCATTTTAACATGGTATCCATCTCAGAGACTAATAGTTTCGACTCGTGAGCGTCCTCTACATGGTGCTGGTCTAACCATGCATTCATTTTTCACTTTATTATTCTATAAATAAAGATGAAAAAATTAGTGACGGAAAAGCTCATCGCCGCTATAACGAGTGCAGTAGAATAAATGGGCGATTAGTATTTTATTGATATTTCAATAACTCCCAATTGTTCAGACCTTATTATTTTTTCAAAAGATTCGCCGTAGAATTCTGCACAGTGTAGTATAATCTAATTAAAGAATAGATTTTTCTTTCTTTCTAGAGCACAACTGTTTTCAACAACAAGATCTGAATAATTTTCTAAATCTGATGTTTTTCAGAGAAAGTGTTTTCATTCTTCAGTCTTTGCGGCTTGCTTTATGTCATGTTTGATGATTATTAATGCAAGTAGTGTGTTACTAGTTATTACTTTCAATGGATTAATCACCAAAACGAGCTGTAAGCATGCGAAAAAGCAATTTGCAATGATTAAAGAATGAAAACCTTTCTCTGAAAAATATCCAGATTTAGAAAATTGTTCAAGTCTTGTTGTTGAAAACAGTTGTGCTCTAGAAAGAAAGAAAAATCTATTAGTTAATTAGGTTATATCACGTTGTGCAGAATTCTACGGCAAATTTTTTGGAAAAATAATAAGATCTCAACAATTAAAACTTATCGAAATGACAATAAAATACTAATTGCCCATTTATTCTGCCGCACCCTTTGCTATAGTCGTGAATCACGCAGTACACTAAGAGTGACTCTCGAAACGATTTCTTTATTACTTCTATTTTATGAGGAGATAGGGGATCTTTAGACTGTCGTGTTTGTTTAGAACCATTATTGTTCGAAAATAAACTAACGTGATGTTTAATCTGAAACATGGTTATTAGTAGAATTAAATATGAAAATAATATCGGATGAGGACACTGATTTAGAATAATACTATTCAAAAGAAAAAGAAATTTAACGCTTAAAAGAATTCATAAACATATTCTATGACATTCTCCACGACATAAAAAAAAAAGTGCTTGTCAATTTACTTTCCTTAAAAACAATCAGCATGAAAAGTTATCATAAAGATAAAATTAGTATCTTTTTATATTTAATTATATCTGTCACATATTCACATCGTTGCATGATATGTTATTATTAATTGGTTCAAAGAGAAAAAATATTTTAATTGACGCAATTTAGATTTATTTTTTAATCTATTTGATAATCTTCATTGCAATTAAGTATTATAAAGACATGTACGGCATCGAAATGAAAATTAGTCAACCGTCACTCATATCTAAGAAAGCTTTGGGAAAGAAAAAAATATTTGAAATTAAACTGCTGGTAATATAACAGCAAAACAAAATTCACTTGTTGACTAATTTCGAGTTTTTTTATTAACATTCAACTAATCAGGAAACCTCCTCAGATATTCCGTTCCGATTTCAATGTTTTTTTTGCCTGTAGATACTACATAGTGTTCTAATAAAAGCTCTTAATAGGAACTCAGATCCTTTTAGAGTTTTTATTAGAATACTATCCAGTATCCATAGGCAAAAAATAAATCATTGAAATCAGAGGAGGACATCTGAGGAGGTTCTCTCATAAATAATTATAATATATTTTAGCATACCTAAATTTTAATTTATTTTAAGCTCGAGATCGGATGGGTTTATATGAAGTTCATGGTATGCCAAGTGATCATTCTCAAACATTCTTTTATTTTATGACATATTTAGCTATATTTATTATTCTTAAGTAAATCGATTTATTTATTTATTTATTTATTTATTTTTGTAATAAAATCTCTTTTAATAAATATTAGATCTCAAATGCCTGGTACACCACGTATTCGTTCATTACGCAATCGTTTTCTTGTTTTTTCACAACTTAACGTTGCTGCTCTAGTCGCATATAGCCGGTAGATAGACGAACTTTGATAACAAATAAACAAAACCCTCGAATTTCCATTTATCTATATAGAGTATATCTTCATTATCATACTATTGCACAAGTTGTTGCTGGTGCATTTGTTGGAACAGCATTAGGTTGTGTCTGGTATTATTTTGTCAATTATTATTTTACAAAATATGTTCCATTTATAATTGAACATCCATTTGGAAAATATTTTCTTATTCGTGATTATGCACCAATACCTCGTCTTATTCATTTTCAATATGAAAATGAATATGCTGAAGCTAAGTAAGATTTATTAGATTTGTTTTCTACTATTTGAATAAATATTTATTTTTAGACGTTGGCGAGAAAGACGCATGAATCATACAAAAGATCAAGTATCATCATCTGAATAAATAAAATTCCATATTATTTTATTCTTTTTTTTTTTCTTATTTGTTTTTAATGTTTTAAATAGTTTATAGTGAGACGTCTGTTTAGATTTTGTTTTGTTAGTTCCACCAGCAAAATTCAGCATTTTAAAATACAATAAATCCAGCGGATCAAATATCTGTCTATTTTTTTTGCTTTCGTTATTCTAGAATATAATGTTATCGGGTAGAACAACTATTGGTAATAGTAATGACAACAATAATAATAATAACAATAACAATCATAAACGACAATGGTCTGAAGGCACTATGGTAACAGATAAATCAATGCGGCTTTATAAAGGTATAGATTTTAATTTACAATTTATTATCTTTCAAGAAAAAAGAAAATTCATTTTCATAGATGATGATCGTCAACTTATTCAAAGCTTGGTTAATGAATATCTCTTGGAAGGTTCGAATGATGTTCTTGATCTTATTCGAAATTGTCCAAATGAATGTTTCGAGGTAATAATTATGAAAAAGAAATATAAGATCTTTCTTTTTATAGATTGTATCAAATAATATTGCATGCTATAATCTGTAATAAGAGAAAAGAAAAAAAATTAAGATATCTTTTATTCATTTCCTGTACACACATAATATAAATGTTTTGTTGATAATAAAAAATAAGTAACACTAGTGTGTTTCATATTTCGATTTTAAAGAAAAGCTACGAACATATCTTTTTTTTTTGATTAAAATGAAAATGTTTTTTTTTTTTGAAATGAGTATATAAATCTTGAATGATTATTAGATTTTTTAATGCTAGAGAAAGCATTGCTTGAAATTATATAAAATAAATGAAAAGATGAAATAGTGATTGGGTTTAATCATCAATATCAACAAGATGATTAGTCATTATACAGTGAATATCAAAATTATGCAACAAAGTTTATTTTCAATTTTTTCCGTTGCCGTAAGAAAAAATCGTTTCAAACAGACACATAACAAAGATAAAAATTATTATCAGACTTAAAAAGATAGCGATTCTAGAAAACTAAAAAGACTAATTTTTCAATACTTAGAGGACGTAAATATAATTTTGTTTAGACAACATCGAACGATAAAGTAAACAATTTTCTACAGAATGAGAAATTGCCAAATTCTTTACGATGTTTTTTGGCTGATACACAACAATTTGATTAATCGTTTTTCTATAGGAAATAGTAACAATACGATTTTAGATGCTTCTGTAAAATTGCTGTATCTCAACTAAAAAAACGTTGCACAGAACTCGGGAATTTCTCATTTTGTAGCGAATTGTTTGCTCTGTCGTTCTATGTAGTCTAAACAAAGTTATATTTGCGCCTTCAAAGTATTGAAAAACTAGTCTTTTGTGTTTTTTGGAATTTATTACTACAAATCTGATAATAATTTTTATTTCCTTATATTCTTGTTTGAAACTATTGTCTCTTACAATGACGGAACAAAAGTGAAAATAAATCTTGTTGAATATTATATTTCGAATTGGATTAGACTAAGAACAGGTTTAGCTTCTAGACGGATATCTAGAATATGGTATCAGAAAATCTAAGAAGGTCTATGCATTTTTGTCCATAAACAGATCGAATGATTAATAGAATATTCTGAATGTTACTTTACCACGACAGTGAATTTCAAGGTAAACTCGTTTTTGTGATAAATGACTATTCTGTGGAAATTCAATATCTTGACAAAGTAACATTCAGGATATTCTACTAGTCATTCAGCTTACTTATGGACGAAGTTTTAGATCGAAATTCCGTTATTTGGTTTTCTGGGAAATATCCAAAGCTGGTTCGAAAATTCAGTAAAACGATGATAATTCGACTCTGGAAACCATGTGTATGAATCTTTCTAGAATTTTTCTAGTCTTACTAAGATCTTCTTGTGAACCTAATAGGAGCTCAAACGACGGATATTGGTTCGGGTAGTTCCCTCTTCAAAAAACTACTTTGTAAGAAAATAAAGAATTTTTCGGTGAAAAACAGCTGAGAGAAATCTTTGTTCACATTTTTTCGAGAAAATTTCTTGTGTCATACATCATCCGATGTAGCTTCAGCATATATCATTGGTTTTCAATAGAAATGCTTTGAAGTCTGAAAAAAAGCAAATTTAGCGGAAAAGTTAAGACTTTTTGGAAAACTTGCTGTGTGGTTCAGGAGCGTTTATGCTAGCCGTAGTGGCAGAGGACATAGAATAGAACATTCTGATATTCTAGATTGGTGTTAAGGGTACGCGTTCATTTTACTCAGTTTAGCTATTCAGAAAATTAGTATCGAAAAAACTTATATATATTTTTTTTCTCAAATTAAAAGTTCTCTTCAATGATCGATGCCAGCCAATATGCAGATTCAAAATATATACTACGTATGCCTACCAGGCTAGTTTTTGAATTCTGGTTGTTTCACTCTACTTAAAATTCGTAATAAAAATTTTTTTTCCATCATAAGATAGAGCATATCTCAAAGTATATTTATTACTATTTGAATCGATGAAAAGGTAACTTTCGTTTTTCCACCTAATGTGCATCTGAATACACATTGTACCCCTTGCAGGCGTGACAGACACTTTAGAAACAATTTTTTCTATCACAATGTGTGACAGACTTTATCACGAAACTACAGCCTTCTGCCGGATACTATGAAAGAAGATTGAATTTAAGACATGTCTTTGATTCATTTTTTCAAAATTACTGTAACCTATGACGAATAACATCTTTCATCACAGACATATCAGTACGTTGGAAATCCCAAATTAAAGTATATATTACAGGATTTCTTGATTTACAATTAGCGATGTAAACGAAAGCATTAATCGATAATAGCTGAAAATTTTCTTAGTTCCATGGAACCTTGAAATGATATTAAAGAGTATGATAATAAGAAACTAGACAAGGTCATCCTTGAAAATCAATCCTGATCCCAACGGCTACTAGAATTTTTAGCAGCTGTTTACAAGAAGGGTAGCAACTGAACCGATTGGCTTAGACCTCTATTTACAATATATACCGATCAATCATATTTCACATTTTAATCACGCAGAGATTGCACTAATAACTTTTCTACTTTCAAATTACCGATGCAATTTTTATCTTGAAAATAGGCACTTGTCGATTTTATTTGGAATGTAGCATCTCAAACAATGGATAGTAATGAAGATGATCTATCAATTTATAATCAACGTTCATCTCTTCTTTCATCATCCTTAACAAATGTTCATCGAAAAGGAGCACGTCGTCGTTTAACAATTATTTTTATTGAAATATTTAAATTATTAGCTACATCACCTATCAATGGTGGTCGATTTGATATTCAACGACAAAATCGTATTCTCTTATTTCCTTCTTATGCTGGTCAATTAATGCATGTAAGTGAGAAAATTATATTTGCTTTTGTTTTGGGGTGTTTTTCTTATTTCGAAAGAATAAAAAACAATTCTAGTTTGAACCTGATATATATGGCTTAAGTTGTCTTACACTTGCTTCAATTATTCTTATTAATCCTAATATAATTCATCATCGAATATCACTTTTAATTGATGCTCTTAAATTTGCAGCCAATCATTTTGTTAAAGCAAATCGTAAGTTTGTGTTTTTTTTTCTGTTTTTAATACATATATATATATATATATATGTAATATTTTTAGTTTCTTTTGATACACCATCAACATTTGCTCTTTCTATTTATTCATTATTCTATTTATTGTATTTATTATATCCTAATAATCTTCGTCGTGAACTTCAACCAGAATCTATACAATCGACTAATAGCAATGAAAAACCAACTAATCGATTGGGTATTGAACGAGTTTTATTGGTAAGTTATTTTACAAAAAAAAAAAATTAACATAAATAAATAATATTAAATAATGAAATCAAACACAAAAATAGCGAGTTAATAGATGTTCAAGATTAGTTTTTTTTGTATACAATCACTTTGTTCTACTTAGTGATATTTCGTCTTACTTGCATTAAATATACGTAGAGTCGTCTAAATTGTTCTATGATATTCCAAGACATATTTTTCGTACTCTCAGTAAAATATTCAAAATTTTTCGTACCTCACTTAGCCGGTGAAATTCGCTATATAAAGCGTCCTATTTTTATAGCAATTAGTGTTGAGAGAGTCTGCCATTTTCTGACACAATATTTTCGGATTTTCTATCTTTGCTCTTTTTTTTCTGCTTTATTTAGGCTTCGAAGTTTTCTCTATCAATTGGACATTTTTCAAGAATTAGTAGACACAAGTGTATAGGTCAAAAAAGAATACGTGAAACATTTCCCTTAACGAATTAGTTTGTAACAAAAAAAAAATGTAGAATTTCTCTCATTTCTCAAGTACAACACTTCCGATCGAGCAGAAAGTTTTTTTGTTCTACTAATACTAGTGTTAGGGTTCGCGCTCACGAAAAGCAACGAACACAGTTAAAGATGTACATATTTTCTTCTCTCTCTCTCTGCTTATTCTTTGAAAAAAAACAAACGTTTATATACGCATATGAAAAAATAAGGACAAAAATAAAAAAGAATACAAAGGTCAATCAAGAATAAAGAAAAGTAATAGAAACGAAATAAGAAAAACGAAAATATCAAAGAAAACAGAATAGATAGTATCGAGATATATGTTATAGAAATACACTGTAACAACTAGAAAGTATTTAGAGCGTCTACTTTTTTTTGTTTCAAAATATAATATACGACTGGTTTTTACTGGAGTTTACAAACAGGTATAAAAAGTAAACATCCTAATTAGCATCTAATATCTGTAAAAAAGAAAACTTTCAACTTTGTGAAACACATTGCAGCTGAGAAAAAAGGTAGTCGGTTTTAGTCCTTGTGATCTCAGTTTTTCCTATAGAGAAGCATTCGAAAATTTCCATTCAATGAAAATTATTGCTCAACTTATCGAGATCTATCTGTCCTGAAACTTTTCGAATGAGTCGATCTCCTTAGATAGAAATAATATGGATACTTATAAAAACTGCCGACACCCATGGTTACTTTGATTTTTAGTTATACAAGATATTTTACAAATAAATATCAAGATAACTAACGATATCTTTCACAATTAAAATCAAGGTAACCATGAGTGTCCGCAGGTTTTGCAAGTAACCAAATACTATGTAGGCACAACATTTCTTTTCTTATTGATTTGTGTAGTATACATTACACATGAAAGAATCACTAAATCTTATGCAAAATTTTCAACAAACTCAGAATGTTTAACCCTTTTGGTACTAGCACACAGAAATCTATACGTTTTTATAAATGTTTGAATAGCTCACGAAAGGAGAATTTGTTGTCTGATCACGCATATGCTATTAATTTTGCTTGCAAGTATCTATAAAGTAAAAAAAAAAGATGCAAAATAAATGAAATGACTTATAGCTAGGACGAATGTAAAGCTTTCTTAACAAAATCTTATCTATGGAATATTTTATCTCCAAATTTTTATTATTAAATTTTTTTCATGATTATAATGAATATTAATCACAAAAGATGTTGATGGATTTCTCGAACCATACACTAGTTAATCCTCATAATTTGTATCGTAGATAGAGGAAGGTAGCAACTAGATTTTGATAAAAAGAAAAATTTTCATCTCTCTTAGACCACTAGTTATTAACATTTTATAACGACAGAACTGAAATGCTAATATTTCACGAATCATCCAGACAAAGAAGCATAAATCTGTTGCGTGATCAGCATTCGGTAATGACAATGATCATACAAATTTAGAAGTTTCTAACTATCACCGTCGAACAATGCCACTCAAAAGGTTAAAATGACTAAACTATAGATCTTTTCGGAAGAAAAATTCTATACAAGGAGCACTTGCACATTAAGATTCGATATTAATTCTTTTCTTTTTCTTTTTTCTTATCTCTTTAGCCACTCTGTTATTATTTTAAACTTCAACCAAGCATTGTTTGTGGTACATCGGATTCTGAAAAACAAGAGAATCGTTGGCAAAATGAATCTTGGCAACAATTAATTGCAAATGGTGATCGTGTAAGACATCAGATTTTTTTGTCTATTCAAATATTTTTTTTTTTTTGATTTATAGTATGTTGTATCTGATGATATATCTCCATTATTATCAAATGATTTTAAGAAGCGTAAAGAAGACGAAATAAAAAAATCTACAGATCCAAGACGAGTATGATTAAATTTATAAAAAAACCAAAAATCAGTTTTTGAATTGTTTCATAGTTTGAAATTGGTCAAATTATTCGTATGTGCAATGAATATACTGAAAGTGTTTTACATCCGAGTGAAATTAATAGTCAGATAGTAAAGAATACAATTGAAAAACAATATGGAAAAAAACATTCAACAGATTGCTATTCCAATTATTCAGGTAAAAGAAAATGAATCAAAGAAAAAACTGAATAATGAATTTATTTTTGTTTTTTTTAAGATTCATATTGTCAAACATATGAACAACAATGGCAAACAACAATACAAAATGGTCAAATGAATCTTTCACGTGTTCAAACATCTGATGAAATAAATCGACGTCATAATAATAATTATACAAATGGAACATCAACAAAAAAAGATGCAAATTTAAATAATTCTATTCAAACTGATCATAATATATATGCTAAAGTTGAATTACAACTTGATATGTTAGATTGTAATTATGAACATGATAAAAGAGAATATTATGCTCAATTAGTAAGAGATTTTCAAAAGACAATACCAATTAATGAATTAGATAAAGCATTAAAAAATCAAGTAAGATATTAATATTTCTTCAAAAATAAATATCGAAGTTTTTCGAATGAATGATTATTATTAGAAAAGATTGCTTCTAATTTTCATTAACTTTTCTTATCAACAAACACCTGACAAAAAAACATATCAAAACTACCGAAGTCATATAATCTACTGTAGATTTCGACATGTCATGTACGGAATCATAGACCTAAATACTGGAAAAGTTCGTGGATTTTATTGTCTTATGTGAGTTTTTTTTCCTAAGTATCTGATTATATCCAAACATTAGATATACTTAAACTTGTGCTAAATACATAATATGAAACTGAAAAATATCTTAAATGTGATTCAGCATTTATTCAGAGACAACATCCACATAGATATTAGACGAGGTTAGATATCTGAGTTTTCGATTTAATTATACAGTAACATTCAAGATGGATTTGACGTCGTACAGATGATTTTCTTTTTGTTTTATCTTAAAAGAAGTTTAATGTATTAAGATATAAATTTTAGTCAATTGTAATTCAAGTTTTATAGTTTATCTGTGTCAAAGATTTCCTCTTGTTGCACCGTAAAATGATTGTGCTTGATAAAAAATATACTGTGAATTGGTTTAAAATTGTTCGTACATTGAATACAAAACTATATACATACACTTCGCAATGAAAAACTTTTTATTTTGTGATTTTCAATAGAGAAATATATTTTCAAGGCGCTTTAACTAAAAGTTAGTAAAAACTTCATTGAAACATTCTTCACAATATTTTTCTTGTTCAAAATCACAAAATACATAATTCTCTATTGTAAGATTTACGTCTATTTTTGTATTAAGTGTACGATCAGTTCCGAACAGTATTATATCTATGAACATCACTTTTCTTCGGCAACTGTTCGTTAACAGGAAGAGAATATCAAACTGAATATTTTCTGTATCTTAAAATAATGATTACGTAATGTAAGACATTTCGATAGTACTACGATACTCGTTTGATTCCGATATTGATGAAATAAAGTTCAATGACATGCTTGAAGATTGTAAAAATTTTGAGCTCACTTTTTCTATCAAAAGATAAGTCATGGAAAATAATAATGGGTAATCAAAAAGTCATCTGACAAAATGTGGCTTTCAGTAACGATGCCACTAGGATGCTGAACCCACCGGAAAATTTTTGCAGTTGTTGTTAATGGTAGCCCCGCACGAGGTCGGAGAGGAGGTCAGCTCTCCTAGCTAAAAATCTTGGCATCGCCGTTAGGTGGCTCATTTTTCAACCTTCTAAAGGAGCTTGCAGAATTTTTAAAACATTGGCTAAGAATCAAAATTTTTGTAGAACATCTAGTTTGAAAGTTATAAGCCGCCCTTTTAGAGACTTGTAAGTTACGTTTGGATGCACTTCAGTGCGCCAAAAATTAGTCAAAATAAAAGTGAAAATTATTTCAAATACAGAAAATAAAAAAGCAAGCATTTCTCTATACTATGCTATACTAAAGATTAGCTTATTGCAAGTTATATGTCAACAGTGAGTATTTTTATAAGAGATATCGTGTTAATTTAAGCAATATTTTCGATTTCTATGGGCATTAGACTTGAAAAGTGAGCTCGACGCTATTCCTGAATGATTGTTCTGAAACTCTTGATTTTTATATCACTTTCCAAAGAATAATCTCGCCTTTAATTCTATACAATATAAAAATCGATAATAAAAAGTATGTAGTAGAAGAAACTATTGCTGCAAAAAAAACGTCAATTTTCTCCATCCAAACTTAATTTTCTCGCTTCTAAAAGGTCGACTCATAACTTCTAAATCAGAAGTCCCACAAAAATTTTGATTCTTATCGAATGTTTTCAAATTTCTACAGACTTCTTTAATAGACTGAAAAACGAATGAACATCTTACCAAATTACTGTGCAATCACCATTAGCTATAAAAGTTTCTTTCGCATTTGAATATTTTCGGTTGTTATTACCAATCTTATAATATTTTCCTATTCACAATCTATTAAGGAAATGCGATATGAAGAATTAATAAATACTCAAGAACAAAAACGTCCAATAATTCATGATCTTCGTAAACGTATTAATGAATTTCATCAGATGAATGAAGCATTTTATAACTCATTATCAGCTACACAAGTGTACGAATTAAAAAAAAGGAATGTTTTTTTATTTGATAAATTAAATTTATTTTTCATGATTTTAGTGAATTAAAAACAGATGAAGATGATCATTGGCAACAACGATCTTTATTTACTGAAAAACAATCAAAATTAAAAAAAGATTTACATGAATTAGAACAAGTAATTTATCTACTATCCATTTCAAAATATAATGTGCTCCAAGGTTTTTTTTTGAATAACTTTTGATAGGAAAATCATAGAGACATGTAGTTTTTACCACTCAAGAGAAAAAGCTCAGCGCTTTCAAAATTTGAATAGTCAACAATCGACTAATCATATGAATTTTTGGTGGAGATTTTAAAAGACAATTTTCTGAAGCTATTTTCCTTTTGATTTAGACCTTTAATAGAATTAATTGATAAAGAAAATTCTTCTCTTTCGATCTACGCAAGGCTAACATTCCTAGCTTGTCATATTCGAGAGTTATAAAACTTTTTCTGAGACCACCAGATTTCAGCCAATTGACCTGTGATTACTCGGAAAAGTAACTAGGCAAGGATAATTCACCATGCTGAATCGAAAGATAATATTTAATTTTAGATTTAAAATAATCTCATACTGTTATTTCAATATTTCTGAAATTCTCCAATCAATCTCTGTGTAATGAAGAGGTCGACATTTCAGAAATATTGAGATAACAATGTCAAATCATTTTGAATCCAAAAATAAATATTACCATTCGACTCAGCATGGTGCATTATCCATGCCTAGTTACTTTTTCGAGTAATCACAGATCAAATGGCTAAAATCGGGAGTCTCAGAAAAAATTTTATAACCCTCGAACAGAATAAGCTAATAATGTTGGCTTTGCGTAAGGCGAAAGAGAAGAATTTCTTCTATCGATCAATTCTATCAAATATTATTCAAAAAGCAGTGGAATGTATCATATTTTGAAATGGATAGTAATACTTCTTCCTTTTATATAATATGTATATATCTCTATATTAAAGATGAAAATTTCAATTGAAAATGAAATACGTGAACTTCAACGAAGTTCATTTCAACCAAAACAAGAAGCTAAACAATCTATTGAATTACGTGATACAATTGATAAATTATTTGTTGATTTAGTTTGTGCAAGAAAAAAACATCAATTATTACATAATGCTTTATTAAATGTTAAATTTAAATCGATTGATGCAGAAAAATTATATGCTATGCATCAAAATGAAGAAGAACATGAAAATGAAGATTTATTAACATTAGATGAAAAGAAAAAGAAATTTGATGAATATAAACAAATACTTGACAAACAAGTATGAAACTCATCTAAGACTACTTGAAACCGACCGATTCTTCTTTAGTCAATTTTTGAAACTTTGAAACTAATCTATTTTTCTTGTTGTTATCAATTTTCATAGTACAACGAGAACCTTCGATCATGCTAAATATTTTTATTATGATCATGATATGTAAGCCAGCTATTAGCAATTGAATTCGATCTAAAGTAAAAATATCCTAATTCGAAAGTTCGAGCTCACTTTTCTGCATCAATTGTTAGAAATTCTCAATGATTAGTAGTTTTAGTTTGTTTTCACTATATATATATCAAAAAAAAAGATTACATGTTATTGTAACAGTTTTATCAACTACTATCTTCTGCAACTATGATAATATCTAACAGTCGGAAAAGAGTTCGTCTTCATGGATGTTTGGAGCTAAGCTATGATTCATTTTTAGGAATTTACTGAAAAATCAAATAACAAAACTTCGATCTGAAATTTTGCCAGTAGATCGATCTAATGATCCTTAGAAAATCTTGGAAGTTTCAGCTTAAAAGAATGTTCTTACGTTAAGATATTGAACTTCTAAAAATAGCCCTTTGCTACAATTTATCAATTTTATAAAAGAAATGATATCTTTATTGAAGAAAATCGGGCGAAACAAAGCATAGATGTTACTCAAAATATCAGTTGTTGTAAGTTACTGAATGAAAAGTATTCAAAGAGTCCTTCCTTTGTTCTTTGTATTAGCGTATAAGGAATACGACAGACTAAACTAGACGTTGCTACTATTAAAAAGCCGAAAAATTATATGAATTTCATATTGTATTCTTCAAAGTACTGCACTATTAAACTTTTTCTCACACTAGAATTAGTTGATTAAAAAATACATCTAAATGCATCGATTTTTTTTGTCGAGTAAGGCAAGAAGTTCAACCAGTCGCCCTAGTCCGATGGAAAATAAATCGATCAGTTTCAAGCCTCATTGATCTAGTTTCCTTTCTGATTAGAAAATCTTTTTCTTTGTTCTTCTAGCAAATTGATTTGACAACAAAACGCAATAATTTTAATCAAATGCGAGGTATGAATACACATAAAATAAATGTTATACGTCGACAAATTGATTCAACACGTATATGTCAAACACAATTGAATACAATGAATATTAACAGTCAGATTTTTCCTAAATAGCAATAAAAACATTAAAAAAAAAACAAAAACGATTCTTTTTATTTTTTCTTCTTCTTGGATCTGTTTTTTTATAGATATAATAAATTTGTACTTACTGTTGATTTATTCAATCTATTCTAAATGTGTACAGAATATAATGGGTAGCCCATAATAAACAATCTATTTTATTTTCTATCATTAAAGCATCTAGGAGTTATTATAAAATTTCATTTTGATTTCATTGAATAGAAAATTAGATTGTCTACAAAACTATCGAATTGGATCTTTCAAATAGATTTCTTGCATCAGAGTAAAGTTAACGAGATTATATACAAAATGATGCAGTTATTATTACGATTTTTAAAGTTTTAGAAGAAATATCTCAGAGCAAAATTTTCAAAATGAAAGATGGCAAAACACCGAAAATCAGCGTTGTCAAACTGATTCAAGTCATTATTTTAGATTGATTCAAACAAAGTAATCTAAATATTTTAACTATGTAAGGAAATACGCGTAGTACTATGTATAAAATTAAATTTTTCATCCAATCATAAAAGATCCAGTATTTTATTGTAGACGTTTGACTTGTGAAAAAAATCATTTGTCATAATACATCCAAAAATATCATGAGATATATGTTGGAAATTTTTATTCTTCTACACAAAAGCACAGAGAACCACGATGACCTCATAGGTATATAGAGGAAAAATTCTCTATCTTTTGGTGTACAATACTTAACTTTAGGCATTAATCTTGATGAGAACATATTCATACGACAAGTTTTTTTTTCACTGAAAAAACAATAATTTACAGTTTGATAATTCAATAAGTGCTAATCTCTTACAATTTACACCACCATGAAAACTATTATTGAATGATAAAATCGATAGTTTTATAGATAATTAAAATCTCTATTTAGCGAGATGAGAACCAAAATTTAAAATAAGTTTCAAATCCGTCGAAAATAGAAAATACAGTAGGTCATTAATTTTGGGACATCTGTTATAATTGTATAAATCTTTAAAAGTCGAATACCTCTACTAAGAATACTTTGAGCTAAATGCTAGAAAAAAAGCACTATTAAACCTTATACACAAAAGTCAATATTTTCTCAAACTAAGATGATCTGAAAGATCACAGAGTGGAATTGTCATTTCGATTGATATCACTAAGCATAACATCAAATCGTTAGATGAAATCGTTCTATCCCATCTTGAGCCTATCTAATGATGTGTGATTATATTATAAAGAACATGTTTGTTGGAACGAACATTTGATCATAACGGTATGGAATGTCCTATCAACCTATGAAGAGTTTTGACTATTTTGGATTCTGTTAAGAACTGCTGCAAGTGAATGAACAAAAACGATAGGGGAGCGGAAACCTCTCCCAAGCGTCGAAAATTTTCGATTAACACCAACTTTCTCTTCTTCTAGGACGCAGATACCGAGCTAGTTGCAATTATGAACCCTTGACAAATAGTCTTGTTTTTATTTCTATAGAATATCTAGTTACCACTTGGTCGATAAACCAAGGCTACTAGTGTAATCAAGTGATACGCTCTTTTTAGTTGTTTGGAATGTGGGGTAGTTGAAGGAATAAAAACGAGAATAGAAAGTTTAGAACTTCCGTAAACAGCATACTGTTCCAGTAAGATTGAAATGTAAGAACATTCAATCTGTTCTAAGATTATCATCAGTTACAATTATCACAGGGAAAAAGCATAGTATTTTTAGTGTCACCGTTTGAATTTTTCATTCCTCATTAACTAGTTAACAGACGCTTTGCGATTGTCTCCTAAGTGTATCAGCTATTCTTTCGAAAACTAGACAAATGTACATACCATGCATTGAGCAAGTCAATCGCAAAGCATCTGTTAGCTAGTTAATGAGGAATGAAAAATTCAAATAGTGACACTATAAATACTGCGATTTTTCTCTATGATAATTGTAACTGATAATAATTTTAGAATAGATGAAAAGCTCGTACATTTCAATCTTATTAGAACAATATGCTGTTTACGGCAATTCTCAACTTTCTGTTCATATATATTCTTCCAACTGCCTCACTTCCCAATCTCTAAATTGATGTATCAAAAAACTATTATTTTTTATCAGTAACATATGTTAGTCTGGAAGAATA